AGATGGCCTTGTATTCCTGAGTACCTAAATTCATTCATGGCTGGGCTTCGCGAACGAAGATTTGGGATGAGTACCTAAATAGGAGTGAGTTAAACCAGTTTGGCGGTGGTTGCTACAAAACCCACCTTTGCTGCAGCAGATTTGGGGCTCAGGCTGGAGCTCCAGGCTCGTCTCTGCATCCCCTGCAGGGGACGTGTGCCCTTGGATGGCAGAGAAGGGATTGCTGGGCAGCTCGAGGGAAAGCCGGGCAGCTCGGCAGGGGCAGCCCAGCGGGGTGGGCACAGCCCCCCTGGGTGGGCTGAGGAGGAAGCCCATGGCCACCCCCAGTTATCTGGGCCCAGAGCCCTGGGCCAGTGTCCCTGAAGGGTCCCAGTGTCAGCTCGCGGTGGTGCAGAGGAGCACAGCGAGGGAGCGTCCTGCAGTGGAAGATGATGGACAACCTTCTCCATGCCCACCAGACCCTTCAAGCCTTCTGCTAACTCCTGGCCCCAGGGTTGATGGCTGCTGCTCGTGACCCTCTCCTCAGATGGCTGACCCAGTCCCTCAACAGAACACCCGAGCAGGGAGTAAGGCCAAAGGAGTGGGAAGCTCACTTTTCCCCCAACTGGGAATGTGATCCATGGGCCTCAGTGACCTGGCATGTGGCACGACTAGGCAGCAGCTGGCCACCCTGTTGGCTTCTCAGGGACACTTTCCTGGCCCATATCACAAGCACTAAGTTAACATGGAATTGTCCAAGAGTGGCACAGTCATGCAGAGATGCCTGGTTCATTTCCCAGGACCTTCCATCCCTCTGTCCTTCCTGCTCCAGTGCCACACAGTGACAAGTAGCTGCCCTTTGGGATGGGACTACCCATCTCTGCAGCAGCCAGGCACATTCATGCAAAACTTGCACCAACAGGTTGCAGCTTCAAAGAATTGGTCCCAGAAAAACATTAAAAATAGAATAATAATGCTAAATGTCAAGGTGTATCGATTTAAGATAGATTCAGAAATGTGTATGTTTAATACCAGCAAGGACTTCCATGGTTAAATAATATGGCCTGCAGTTTAACACAGTCACTGAATTCCCCTGAATTAATTTGTGCTTCAAGTTCAAAATGAGGTATAATGAGCTAGAAAAGTGCACAATGAGATGGCCCATTTCATCTTGGATAAGCTGGTCATATCAGCCTCCTTAGCCAGGCTGAGTGAATCGGCTAATTAAGTATAATAGCTGATCAGCAGGCATGGACTTGGGGGGTTTAGTTTCCTTACTCTGTATGGTCAAGCATAGTAAAAACTCAGCTCTTCCATGCTCTTTTCAGTACTTTTCTAAAAGTTCTACTGCTGGAGAAAAGAGAAGTTTTTTTAAAAAATAACAGAGTAAAACATTTATCAGAAGCATTCTGAGAGATCCAAAAGGTGCTTGTGAACTTCGAATGGGCTCTTGTCTCAGGTGCTGGGACTGCTTTCTGTAATGTGGATGCTTGGGAATGTGTTAAGGGCAAAAGACCTTCAAAGCTGAGAGACAGCTTTCCCCCCTTTCGGTTTTAGAGTCAATTATGGTTTCAATTCTTTTTTGTTGTTTTTGTTGCATGTGTACTTCTAAATAATGCATGGTAATTATGTTTATGTGAGAGGTTGTGCCCTTCTGTCAGTTTAGATGTACCTTCCCAGGCTTTCATTTGCAGGAACAGCATACAGCAAGAGACACTTCCATCAAGATTTTCCCATGGGGAAAGTACACCCTAAAACCTACATTATTTTATCTATATTTCCTGGTCTGGTGAAAGATGTAGGGGGTTTGGACTAGATGATCTTCAAAGCTCCCTTCCAACTCAAACCATTCTATGATAATTTTCTTTTTTCCTTAACTACCATTTTTACAAGGATACTTTTCCTGCTCTTTTAGACTCGGACAACTTTTTTGCTAAGCCCTTTTCTTGTGTGAGCCTGCTTCATTGCATCTAGCCTAAGGAAGTAACCAGATGTTTGATAGCCATTCCCCGCACTCCTTAGCAGTTCATTACCCTTCCAATCCGTTCCAACAGGTGACAGACATCCTGTGACACTGTAATTAGTTTCAACACATAGTTTATGACCACCTTGGGAGACACTGCATTTTTTTTAACTAAAGTAAACAAGTAATTGTGTGTATCGAGGCCACTTCTTAATTCTAAAAAGCTTGCAGAACAGCAGTAGTGCTTTTTTCTTCTTGGGTCATCTCATGCTCTGTCTGTCTCTAGCTAATGTTGGAGCTAGATTTTGAGCCATCCATTATTGTCAGGAGCAAGCAGAACTGAGTAAAAAAAAACCAACACATGCTGTTGTGTAGTAGATTTCTCTTATCCCCATTTCTGAAAAAGTATTTAATCTAATGTTTCTGCATCCAAAGGTGGAAAAGCGAAATTTATCATTTGCTTTGACAAATTGAAAATTAAATGCTTTGGCTTCCATTTTGAAATTATATTTTGTAAAATAACCTCAGAATGCTTTATTTTCACCTTCCCACCCTGTCTAACCAGCTAAGGCTGCCCACCAGTCAATCCCCACCTTTCTTCTCCAGCATCTGTTCTTGTCTGCAGATGGTCATAGAATCACAGAATAAGTTGGGTTGGAAGGGACTTTAAAAATCATCTCATTCCAATCCCCCTGCCACGGGCAAGGACAGCATCCACAAGATCAGGTTGCTCAGAGCCCCATCCAACTTAGCTTTGAACACTTTCAGGAATGGGGCATCCACAGCTTCTCTGGGAAACCTGTTCCAGTGCCTTATCACCCTCACAGGGAACAATTTCTTCCTAATATCTAATCTAAACCTGTCCTCTCCCAGTTTGAAGCCATTCCCTCTTGCCTGTCACTCTGTGCCCTTTGAAGTTTTAGGAAAATTGACTGAGTGATAGATGAAACCCACTCTCTTGCTGGAGTGGTGACTTATTCCATGCAAAGGCATTCAGGGATAAATTAACATTGGAGGAAACAACTAATCCATCAAACTTCATCAATCTACATAAGGGCTGTCAGAACCATCACCATGAAGATGCTGCCAGCGTTGACTCAAGGGAAAGCAAGAACTCCTTGCTGAAATATGAACTTTGTCGCTAAGGCTGAGTGTCCCTAGTATGCACCCAGCAGCATTAATGTCCAAAGGACTTAGGTGTCCTTTCTGCAGTGCTACAGAAATATGCATTAAGAAATGAGCAATAGGGAGGATGGCAATGAAACACCTGAAAGTGTTAGTGGCCTGTTGGGAGCCTTCTTTCCCCTGTCCACCTCCCTTCACTGGCAAGAGCAATACCAGTATTGATTGCCAGTTACAAGAAAATTGTGCAATGCATGAAATGTATTCGTAACTTTCTTAATATTTGACAATTATATCATCCATCTCCAAGCTCATTACATAGGAGACGTGCCTACAGAAATAAACTGCGTGATAACTTAGATGGGACTATACTGCCAGGCTGATATTGAAGATTTGGGAGTATGAAGCTATTTCCTTACTTGCCTCTCATAGTACTTCTTTCGTCCTTTCCAGTGCTTGGTCCAGCCTGTACTGAGATGACTCTGGTAATATGTCTGCCTCTTCTTTTTGGGAACCAGCTCTACAGTTTGATAAGATGTTTTAAATTTTCTTATAATAATTGCTTTCCTCTTCTTGGCACTCCAGTTGTTTACATCAGCAGAGCTGAGAGAAGTCCTTCTGAATGTTTTTATAACTTGGCATGTGCAAAGAGGCAGCCTTGTTCCAAACTGGGAGGAGAAACTAATGCATTGCTTAAACCAAAATCTCTTTGCTCGAGGAAGAAATTGGCAGTTTGAAACTGTCAGGTCACATCTAGTCCCATTTAATATTTCAGAGGGTCACTTATATGACTGACTTCTAAACAAGGGGACATGTAAGACTCCTGGTATAAAATTCTGACTGATGAAAATAGATCATTTGAAACATAATGAGACAGATGATAAAGATAAAAATATTTTTTGAAGAGAATTTGATAGGGTTGTGGAGGAGGAAGTTAAAACTAATTGATTTGACTAACACTGAAAGTGAACATAAGGATATTTTCCACAGTTGATTGTTACTAAAATGGCTGATCAATTTGATCAAAAGGGAAAGCTTAGGGAGGGGAAAGAAAATTGGAAAAGCAGAATATACTTCTGGGGTACATCTTCAAAGACAGTCAGCAGTTTCTCGTAGTAAATCCTGCAAAAGTCCCTTGTTTCATTTCTGAAAACCTTGTTCATTTCTGAAAATCTTCCTCTCATTGTTTCAGAAATGAATGTTGACTTTGCTATACTGAAGCTTACGCACAAACACAAAATGATCCTTCTGTTACAGGAAGGTTATTTTCACAAGCTGAACTTCTGTCTCATATTTGGCTGATCACAAAAGGTGCTGTGCCGAGCCCCGTGGCCTCCCTTGTGGAATGTCTAATATCTGCAACTGCTTTCTTTTGGCAGAGAAAAGCACAACGGGAACTGTGGATTTAGTGCACACTGAGACCAGTGAAAACCCTCCCACTGATACCAGGACTAAGAGCAAGGCAACAAATCAGTTCAGTGCCATAAAAACAAACCCGCATTAGTAGGTAGATATGGCAAATTTCATGCCATGTCCATGGAGATAAATAAAGCCAAGTCTTTTTGATTTCATTAGCCTTCCTTCCTGAAGAGTGCACATTTTCCGGGCTCGCCGAGCAGGGCTGATCTGCTACATCCAGTGTATTACACACACCAGTGGCTCCGTGTATTTGAGTGTTAAGGCCACAATGTCCAAACTCGTCTGAATGCAGTGAGACAGCGGATTATCTCTCTCTTCAGAATGAGACCTGTTGCTGCAGGGATCAATAGAGCATTAAATATCACCTCTTATTACAGTGAATACCCCATAAATACCACGAGCCCAGTGCAACCTCAGCTGGTAAATATCGACCACGGAATGCCTTCAGATGAAGTGGCTGATCTGAGAGGCTGTTTTAATTATGGGATTTCTGTCAGCAGTCAGAGGAAACAGCAAGATGGGTAACTCAGAGATGAGCAAAGAGGAGAGCAGAGCTTTGCCGAGCGCTGAGCGTGGGTTTGTGTGCCTGGGCTGTGTGACCTGCATGGGCACGGCTCGGGATGGAGCCAGGGGTGCTGCGGGCTCACACTTGCATTCCACGCCTGATCGGTGGGTATGTGGTGTTGGCGGGGAGTGCCCCACGTTTCGGTTCATCGAGCCAAATAGGAAATCACTTGGAGGCTGTAGTGTTTGTAAATTTTGCCTTTCCTTCTGGGACGGGTTGATTACAGAGGCTGTAGCCTCCAGACGGCGCTGTGTGAGCAGTGGCAGAGTCTGTCTGCCTCGGCCAGATCAGCATCTTAGTACAGACATCCTGCGAGACACAGCTTTATCCCATCTCTCTCCCCTGCCTTGGGAGACAGGGAGATTTGTATCCAAGCTGGCAGAGCTCTGCTTTCAGTGTCTCTACTTCTATACATTCTCTCTCTATCTTTTCTGAAATTATTGTACTTTCATTTGTGAATCATTAATTGATATTATTAGTCAGTACTAGCATACATTTGGGTTTGGATGTTGACTGCACTGAATGACAGCATTTAACATTCTGTTAATCATCTCCGAACATGCTACATCTATTTCTTTAAAAGTGTGTGTTTCTTTGTAGTCACCTCATACACACATTTAATAGTTAATGTTATCCTGAAAGCAAACACACGTAGCAGTTTGTGCAATAATTATTAGTATATCACAAAGATTTTTATTGCATTACTCATTCAAAAATATTCTTACAGTTACAAAGTGAAACCTTTATAAAATGTGAAGACAGTCTTCCCCAGCACTGAAATGTTGCTGAATGATCAGGGTTACCTGGCATTGTTCTCCCGTGGAAAGCTACTAGGCATTTCAGAGAGACTGGACTTTGTCCAGGCTTTAGTGTTTTTGAAAAGCTTCATCAGAAAAGACACATGTGCTACTTAGCCCACTTATAGCTCATATTGTTCTAACATTTCTTTTTAGAGAGTAGATGATCTAGAATCAGGTTAGAGCCACTTGTTTTAGGTACCTACCATTATACTGAGATATTTATACACCCATCATTGTCTGTGCATTGGTGGAGTTATTTCATTTTCCAGCTGCTTCTCCTCATTTATTTATTTTGAATGTTGTCTGCCCTGCTGAGTGTTTTTTTGAATCATCTATTAATACCAGTACAGTTCTCCTGAGTGAGTGGTGATTTAAAACCAGATGATCAGAGGACTAGAGCATAGCCTTGGCAACCAGTGCCAAGTAAGAAGGTGGCTCTGAGTAGAGAGCCACATGTTCTCTAGAGATCTCTTCCAACAAAAATTATTCTGTTTTTGTGATTCTCTGTTTATTTGTGTCACTGACAACTTTTATTCTGTCATCTGATTTAGGGTTTCTATTTGTATTTAGGCGTTGTGATTATTATACACTTTTTATTTCTTGCTCAGTATTGCTGATTTTCTGCAATTTAAGGAGAAAATAAATTATTTCTACATACAGGTAAATTTGACATCTTAAATGTAGATGCTATTAATAATAAACAATATAATTCTTGGAGTAGTTAAACTGTAGCAAAATGACAGCTGAAAAGCTCCTACCTTGGGTCTTAAGTCAGAACCTTCTTTGTGCTCTGTTGTATGTTGGAAAATTGAACATTTTTTCAGCATATAGAAAATGAGTTTTACAAACCAGATGGATTATACAAGCACAATGACAGCCCTTGTTTTTTAACAAGAAATCTGCTCCTGATGTTCACTGAGACTAAAAGCATCTGAAAAATTGCCCAGGCAAACACTGGGAATCTTGTGCCAACTTTCTTCCTCCCTCCTTCTTGGGAAGGTGAAACTACCTCCAAAATAACCCTGAGGAACTTTTGTGCAGTCTGCTTCTACATCTTCTGAGAAGGCAGACACAGTGGACCTGGCCTTTCTAGTCAGGAGAGAACAACCACAAGAAAGATTTCCCAACTATTATCCATTTGCTGGATCTCTGGCAGGTTGTTTCAGGGTCCTTTACCTTCTCTACACCTTCTCCCTTTCCAGGAGTGCTGAAAGGTGGGGTGCCTGAGGCTGAAGACCCCTGAACCAGAGCAAGGTGCCCAGGTAGATGGTCATTCTGAACCCACACCAATTGCTCTGGGTTACCTGCCAAACCTCTGCTAAAGGTGCTGACTTTAAGGCCAGGCTCAGGTCTATGCCTGCAGGAGAGGTGTGCTTTCCTGCCTTGCAGAGCTGCTTTTCTGTAGTTGCATGGTAAGCTTCAAGTATGACAACGCTGAAAAACAGGAGACTGTCTATGTTGGGTTGTGCACCAAGCTCCCTGATTATTTTTAGAAGTTACATGTTATTTCACTGGTGCTCCCTAGCTTTTCTTGTGATTTGTTTTTTTTTTTTATTTCATATTCACTTTGGCTGTATCATCTGTGAGTTTACAGACTTTTATTATATCATCCTCCAGCCATCTCTCCTCTAAGGGGCCCTTCTTTCTCCAACAATGTGAACCATACCATAGCAGTGTCCTCTGGCTTTGTTCTCCATTTTTTCCTAAAATTTTCTGACACTGTGCTCATGTTTTTGGTCAAAGTGCAGCAATGAGATGTATTTAAAGAGCCATCTCTACCATCTGTAAGGTCTCCATGAAATGACTATCTCTTTTTTGAGGACCTATCACTGTATATGTATTGTTGGAATTGTTTCATTTTACATGTACATGTACTTTACTGATATTGAATGTCATCTGCCATTTTTTTAAATCCTCATGCTATGAGATTCCTCTGCTGCTCTTTAACTACCTTGAAGTTGATTCTTCTCACCTTGAAGAATATTGTCACTTCACTGTTCAGTTTCTTCTGAGGACACTTACATCAGCAGGGCTGATCTGCTACATCCAGTGTATTACACACACCAGTGGCTCCATGTGGAGGTTCTCAGAGTCTCTGTATGCATGCTTTGCTGGCTCAGGTTGCCTTGTGAAGGAGGCTGCATTTAAGTTACCTGAAGGGTAAGGGAACATTTTATTAAATACACATTGAATAACAACTTTCCTGGCCCTTTCCTCTGTTTTACCAGAGCACCTGCAAAATTAGTTTGGCAACTTCATATCTGATTCCTTGATCTTTGCTGTCTGTGGGCCTTGAACTGCCCCCCGCCCCCCCATTACTGCCAGAAACAAGGCTGGGCTGGACCTTCCCCTTCCCACCTGCAGCTTTCAGCCACCATGAGTTCAGCTGGTCCAGCCTCAGCTGCAGGTCCTCCCTTTGGAGCTATGACAGCTGGCAGGTGGCATGGAGAGCTCCTCAAAACAAAGACCAATAAAATCAGCAAGAAGTGAAAGATTGAGGTTCATAATTTCTTTCTCCCGAGCTGAACTCCATAGCAGGAGCTGAGGCAGGTTTGTCTTGTCCCACCTCGGCCTCCAAGCTTGCCACTGTCTCCCCTGGCAAAACCTCTGCAATACCTGCAGCCTCCTCTCTTCTGCACAGCCCATTTTCAACAGCTCACTTAGATCTTTTTCCTCTCAGGTAAATCAGGACTGTCAGAGCACCAGATTGAGGCCTTCCCTGTGGTTATAACCGCACAGGAATGCTCCTGGTGGAGTCCATTGTTTTCCTGTCCCTAGGGGTGCACTCAGGGAATCCTGTACACCTGCCTTTCATTTAACTCTGTTCCTTTAGGCAAAGAGTTCTCCAACACTTAGCAGTGCAATCAGACCAGACACCTCATTCCCGAAAACACAGGGATTTATAACACACTTTTTCGGTTCACTTCATTTGGGAAATCACATTACTTAGTTTTGTAATCATATCTGCTGTTTGATTGACAGTACCAATTTTACTGAGTTTTATGGCTTCATTTTGTGCTTTGTTATCATACCTCCTGGATCATGTGGATATGAGAATCTCAATTATAAAAATAAAAATTTCCAAACCCCATGAGTCTGGAAGGAAACTGTAAAGTAAGAACACATTTAAAAGTGTAAAGGGAAACAGAAATACCAGAAAGTTGCTAATATACCTAAAATAATCACATGTTCCTTTTGAAGACAATAAGGTCATGTGGCCATAGGAATGTACAAATTAATAACTTGGAGTTAGCAAGACTGAAATAAGGTGTTTCTTAGATCTTGGTGTTTCTTAGATCTTCATTTGCCTGTTCAGAAGACAAAATGAAAGTGAGATATTTGGCAATGCAAAGCTCTAGTATTGCAGGGTTTTTGTTTTGGGGTTTTTTTACAGTCTTATGCAGGCAGCCCAAGATGAATTAAACATATGATTCTTTTTTTTCCTTTAGTGAGAGATGTATCTAAGGAGACAGAAAAGAGGAGTATCTCAGGAAGCTGTAGAAAGAGGGCATTGCAATGTCTATTGATTGCTAACCAATACAGAAGGTAATTTCATTGAATGCTCATAAACTCTACAAAATATCACTTGAACAGAGGAAAAAGACAATAATTATTAATTAATATCTGTTTGTCCAGGCTACTATTTCACTGGGGCTTATTCAGTATTTTCTCAAGAGGTCTTACCTGTATTGGTGTAGGTTAAGATATTGAAAATATTTCAAACATGCAAGTTATTCCTTCTGCTAAGGGAAAATTTGCTCTGTTATTTGAAGGCTCCTTTCTATGACTTTTAAAACAGTTATTAAAGAAAAATACAGGCAGAAGAACATAAAGGAAAAGACTTAGGGATACAGGTCCAGAATACAAAACCGAATATAAATACTTGAATGAACAAGATTGGATGTTACGTTCTCATTTTTCAGCTGTATGTAGATTTCTCTATACTAAATAGTCCATCAAACTATATTCAAACCCCAGCCTTTTTACAATCATTGTAATACAGATTTTTTTTAAAATGATTGTGCTAGCACTGCAATATAATAAAGTGCAGAAATATGGGCAGATTATCAAAGACGTTTCATAACTGGGCATAAATAGAGCTTTTGGAGAAAGGCTGTGGTGTCACAGCCACATCAGAATTCACTGGTCCGTCTCTTAATTTTTATCTAAAAATCAATTTTATAGACAATGAGACAATCTTTGCAGCATACATTTGTAGTAGTATATGCAGTGTGCTAGTGGCAAATGCCGGCCTCTAGTCTTGCAGTAGGACTGTATCAGAAGTATTATTTGATTTTTCAGAA